CAGATGTTAGCTCAGGGCCAATCTCCTCACAAAAAAAAAAAAAAAAAAGTCTTGTTTTTTATTTATTTTTTTCACTGTCCAGTTTTTACAAATGTGTTTTGAAATGTAAAGTTCTTAGATGTGATCGTGTTAAAATCGTGTTAGGACCGCTATAGTTACCTAGTCTTCCTTCATGAAAGCGTGGATTAGCTGAACCTTTCCTCCTGAGATAGAAATGCTAGAATTCCTTGATGCTTGAACCAGGGAGTTTTAAAAGACAGGAAAGAACAACTTTTCGCAGAAGAGACTAAACATCTGATATTTTAATGAAACTTGATGGTTTACTACCTTATTTCCCATAATTATCTTTCTTGACTTCTGTCTTAGCTCAGAATACCATAGACTGGGCGACTTAAACACCAGAAATCTTTTTTTCACCATTCTGGAGACCGGAAGTTCAAGATCAAGGTGTTGACAGGGTTTGGTTTTTGGTCTGGTCCCTGGGCGCCCTCTCCAGACTACCGTCTTCTCGCTGGGTCCTCCCTGGCCTTTCCTCTGTGTGTGCTGACAGCGAGCGAGCCCGGGAGCGAGCCCGGGAGTCTCTTTTTCTTCCTGTGAGGACGCCAGTCCTGTAGGACCAGGGCCCCTATGACCTCATTTAACCTTAATTCCCTCCTGAAGGTCGGATCTCCAGATACACGCTCATGGGGGTTAGGGCTTCAACATAGGAATTTGGGGGGAACACTGTTCAGTCCATAACACTTCCTAAGGCACACATATTATAACCTCATTCCCCAGATGCAGAAACTCAGTTTTACAGAGATTTCAATGACTAGGCCAAATTTGCTCAGAAAGGCAATTTTAGCAGATTGCATAGAGCAAATATTTGAATAAAGAGTATTCTGGCTTAGCCAGAATAATAGATAATAGACTCTTCAAGTTCCATTAAACAAATATTAGAGACGTTTATGAACTAATTTTCCTTCCCCACCTGTTAGAAATATTAGTCCAGACTTTGGTAGGCATTAACTCATTTTTCTGCAAGTGATCGTTTCTTAATATTGCCTCTGAGTTATCTTCCTGAGATCTATACGTGAATAAGATGACAGATTTAAAAGTTGTTATTATTATTTGGCAAAGTCTGTCGAGGCAGAAACCTAGTTGTTTCTTCTGGAAATATATTTTCTCTAATATACGTTTGCTTGTTGTCAGTGAGGTTCCTGTGCTTTTATTAATGGCTGAAATTGAAAAACATTGTTGAACAATTTGAGAAATTCCATGAAGTAGATTCCTGGTTGATATGACAATGGATAATCCAATATTCTAATCTTCTGTTGCTCAGAAAATTTATCCTAGAAGCTTAAGATGTGTGACATGTCACACAGGGCTGATGCCCCCATCCCCACACTACGCTTTGAACATCGCAGGAACTTGAGGCTTATTGACTGAATGAATGAGTGGGAGAGTGAATGAGTGACATGCCTCCTCCTCCTTTGCCAGTTCACTCTCACTGAGACACTCACTAACTTGGAAAGTCAACTTTCTATATTTGCAGGCGGGAGAGGGTGTGCTTCTCACAGCAGCAGCATCTCCCTGTCCCCCACAATGGGGTTTACAGTCCCATCTGCGTGTGCTGTTGGAAAAAAACTCAAAATAGTAAAATTTTGATTAAAATGTTGTTTTATGTGTTTCTGTATGTACATTTTTAAGAGGTATATTTGCTATAATTTTTGGTTTCTTTACTTTCAGCTTGTAATATGTTCATTCCTAAGAATGAAATTACAGCTGGGTTTTACAGGTTGTGGGATAGACACATTATAAGGGCTGTAGCCAGTTTTTCATCGGCCGGTTCAGTCTCTGTGTCTTTAGTGCGGGAGCCCAGGGGTGTCCCTCCCAGGCCTCAGCTCCCCGATTGTGGGTCTCACTCCTCTGACCTTGCTTTGCAAACACAGACTCTTTTTCGAGTCTTTCAGTCTGAAAGTGCTTACATGTTCACTGAAAGCGATGCGTGTTATTTTTGTTGTTATAGTACCTTTCTGAGGTAAAAACACACTTTGCTACAGCCCTTCATGGAATCCCAGGCTACCCTGTTTCACACCCTCTCAACCTCATGTCCAGTTGGGCTTGGTTAACACTTAGCTTGGATCACAACAGAGCGTGTGTACACGATCTAATGTGTGCGAGATGTAATGTGTACGATGTTGGCCGTCACTGGCCGCCTAAGGCGTGTTATGCTGTCAGCTTTCGGTCCCCACCGACACCTGTAAACGTGGTCGGGCACCTGTGCTCAGAGTACAGGAAAATAATCGATCATTCATGAATTCATATTGATGACTTAAACGTTGACCTAAAAATCATTGAACTCTGCAGAGAAGTATCGGGGAAAAGGAGCCAGTTTTGGGATTAGGGGACGAGAACAGATTTAAAACAGGATTGAGTGTGTGTTACAGCCTCACTGTTTACGACCTGGGGAACGTGGGCCGTCATGTTCCTCTCGGGGCTCCGTTCCCAGAGACGAAGTGGGGGTAAGATGGCCGGCTCTGCAGAGATGTTGCATGGATCTTAAGTAATGCATCGAGTGTGGCCTGTTTTTGTCAGTATCTTTGTTTCTGTACTCACTACCACAGATTGAAGGTTTGAAATTGTGTCATTACTGCAGTACTTAAGCAATGTTGCTTTAAACAGTTACTTAGGTTTAACCTAGGAAGTTACATGTACATTTTGCATTCACTTTCCGATAGTGCGTTTTAACCTAAACTTGGTTTCTTTTCCGAAATTTTTTAAAGCACAGAACTGTTACCCTTCGCAGACGGCCTGTTGGCGGCTTGGGCCTGAGCATCAAGGTATGAACTCGTGTTTTCCAGCCACGTTCCTTTTCAGGGAGCGTTCCTGTGTCGATCGTGACCCTCTCCCGTTGCCTGTCTTCCAGGGAGGCGCCGAGCACAGAGTCCCTGTCGTCATATCAAAAATATTCAAGGACCACGCAGGTAAAAACAGCCAAACGACCTGTGCATGTATCGCAACAGCCTGGAGGATAATGTGTTATTTAAAGTGGTAAAGATGAGCGACTGTTATTTTGCTTGATTATTCATGCTGCCATTTTAGTTTTGTCCTGTGTCTCATTTTATCCCTGATGTCACCCTGCCCTTTTTCATTTCCTCTGATCCTGCAAGCCCTTAAGAGAGCTACTTACTCATGGGGGGATGTGGTAGGAGATCCTTTAGAGGGACGGACCGTGCAGAGGTTTGAACACTGGGTTTTCTAAGGCATGTTAAAAAGCTGAGGAGAATTAAATGTAGAAGAAGAAGTCAGTGGTGTTCATTAGCTTTCTGATATAAAATTACATTACACCCATCCAAGAATGGCTTCTGAGTGAGGCTGAGAATGCATCCTGGCCCATGGTTGGTGCTGGCGTTCGTTAGTTGTTCACCGAATGAAACACCGGCTTTGGGAATCATAACCATCAAACAGCTGCCTTTTCTAAGAGGTTCCTGTGTTTAGACGTGGAAAGCGAAGACAGCATTTCTGGCCACACACTCCAGGATGGGGCAGGTTGTTTTCCATGAAAGAGGGAGATGTTCTGATGTAGTGAAATTGCCCCGTTAGGTGGCAGGCCCGCTCCAGCTGTTAATGGAGTCTCGCTCCCCAGGGGCTCCTCTGCCCTTTCTGCCAGCTCCTCCCCTCTCCCTGTGGCTCCAGAATGACTTCTGGGGAATCCAGGTGGAGGGGGGCGTGCCACCCTGAAAGTGCACATCTGTGTGTAGGGGGATTCACCTCTGTCCCTGAGTTGGAAAGGAAGGGAGGAAGGGCTCCGAGGGGGCAGGTTGGCTCAGGGAGCTCGTGAGCCTGAAACTGAGAAGAAAACAAGGGGTGTGGTAACCCACACAGACCGGGTTCTTGGACGATGATGCCCGCTCTGGGCTGGAAATAGGCAGGTTTGGGGTGAAGTGTGGAATAAGCTCGTACTTTTTCTCAGAACGTTTGTGCTCATTTCTCTGATTTTACACAAGCAGTAAGCCCTACGTCAGATAGAGCACGCGGCCGCCACAGTCGTGCGATTGCTGGGGGGCAGGGGTCTCGGCCTGGGGATCCCACCACCGTCCTCGGCGGCATGCACGCAGTAATGGCAGGGTAGTTGTGGGTGCGAGTCCCTCAGAATCACCAGACCCTGGGGCAGAAGTCTGTGGAGATCACATTGTGCTGTCGAGACTGTTTACGTGGAATGTGAGTCTCCTCACAGTGACTTTGACTTCATTCATGGGGAAAAGAGAGACTTTAACAAAATGACTCACCACTGGATTTGCCTCTGCGTAAAGACTCATTTCTACCGAGATGACATTGAGGAGTCTGCTCAGCGACACACTTGCCCCTTTTTGAGCGAGGGCTGCAGGACCTGCCTCACAGTCTGCAGCAGGCGGGCTGTGTTTGATCAGGGATGGAGGGCCATGAACCCGGCACAGCTCCGTCCTCAGCCTCAGGGTGGGAGGGAGGGGCTTCCAAGGAGATCGGCACCATCCCCAGTCAGGAAAGGAAACAGGAGAGCAGGGCACTCCTTGATAATGTCCCTTCTGGTAACACACAAAAAGTTCAGTTTTATAGGAAAATACAGTTTTGATTGTACCCATAGATAACAGGAAAGAGCTACACAGGTATCTGAATCAAATGATAAATTTTTTTGAGGTTTGTAAAGCCTTTCAAAACAAAGACTATGATTCCACTGGACTAAATATAAAGTATTTCTGTTTTACATATCAAGTGTATTGATTGTGGAACTGGAAAGCTTTGCAGAAGCTCTGTGCTCCGGTGCATTTAAAGTGAGGTTCCACAAGGACGAAATAAATCAATTTGTTATTGAATTACTCATGTATAATTACTTCTGCACCACTGTAAACATTCTGGTTGACAGATTAATAATTGAAAGGAGGATTGCTCAAGTGCCTTTCTGCTTCTGTAATCTTTGTGAACATTCCCAGTTTTTTCACTAGTATATTTTTTTATTTGTGGATATGAATATGTCTCAGAAAAGGATGGGAACAAGGGAGTAAGATTAGCCAACAGATAAAAAGCAGAGAAGGATTTTATGCTCAATTCAGAGAGAAAAATCTTGGTCTGTAGAGGGGTGAACAGGTTAGGAGGCCACATATGATACAGCTCGACCATGAAAACGAGGCTGCGGTTGTAAGAAAGGTACCAAGTCACCTGGATGCATCTCGTCCATGAGCTGAGTGCAGCCCCCAGCCTGGGGTAGCCAGCGGGCAGACGCTCAGAAGTAATGGGGCCCAGTAGGATCCCAGACTCTTACCAGGCTCTCGAGTCAAAAGGTGCAGATGCAACTCTCTTCTGAACCAGAGAGTCTTGTCTCCAGCTGCCAGGAAGCGTCACAAGTAGCTCAGACCCAGCAAGTCTTGAAATGAAGCCTCGTCTCCTCTGCCACCTCCTCCTTTTACCGCCATTGACAACCTGTGATCCTGGAAGCCGGGTCTGTCTCCCTGTCCAGCTGATCACCTCGCCCTGTCGGCCTGTCCCTCCTCTCCAGCACCCCTGTCCTGCCTCGGTTAGGCCCAAGCACTCAGGCACTCGACTCGGAGACCACGGCCCACGGTCCTCCTGGTCCCTACCTTCCGCTGGGTCGCTTCCACGCTGCTGCCAGACTGCAAGTGTGTGTCAGAGGCCTCTCCTCATTTCTTCATGGTGTGCGTATTCTACACCCTAAACTCTGCAAAGTCTGACAAAACGCTCCGTGAGACGTGAGCTCTAGAGACCAGGGGCTTGGTCGCCTGAGCTTGTGTCTTCAGCGTTGGGCGCAGGACGAGTGTTTTACGGCAGGGGAGGCCCTTGGCTGCCATGCGTCTCTGTGCGAAACTACCACATGCGTCTAGTGTAAGGAGAAAGACAGTGTGGGAGCTTAGTGCCCCGAGGTCCAGGAGGCTGGGGATACGTGTGAGGCAGCAGGCATATGTTGTTGATAACAGTTACCCGGTCCAGCAACCCAGGGAGTCAGGGTTTATTCAGGGAGATCAAAAACTCGGGGTGAGTGATGGGAACTAGGACTCTACGGATCCCACGAGAGACCGTCTGCACCTGCCGTGCACTCTCTCGATACGGGTCGGTGTATGATTGTCCCCAGAAGAAAGGCCTAGATGTCGAGGGGTCCTCTGCAGCTCGGTCTCTTCCCTGTGGTCACCTGGCGTTGCCTGTAGGAACGAGGCGCTGCTGGCTGTGAGGTCAGAGCAGAGTAAATTCTTCATTCACGAGTTTATCCACCATGTTCAATGAATAACTGCTACAGAGAAGACACTGTTCTGGGTTTGAGGGGTGAACATCACCATCGTGGAGGGTGTGTTCCATTGCAGAAAACAGGCAGTGAGTGAATATCTAGTCTCTGTTCAGATGATGATAACCGCTGCGAAGATCATTAAGCAGTGTTAGGGGATGGAGAGTGACGGCAGCTCACTATTTTTTATAACGTGGTCAGTGAAAATCTTTCTCTGGTGACGTTTAAAGCAAATACTTGAGTGAAATGGAGTAAGCCATGAGCAGGTCTTGATGGGAGCATCCTGGACACCGAGCAGAGGAAGTGCAAAGGCATTGATGCAGAACCGAGCTTGTTTCCTTCAGGAACAAAACGAAAGCCAGTGGGAAGGAGAGATGGAAAGTGGGATAGGTTGGGAGGAGCAGAGTCTGGGGAGTGAGGTCAGGGGGCAAGCCATTCAGGGCCTGAAGTCCTGGCAGAGAACTTGCATTTTATTTATGAGGAGAGGGGTCATTTGAGGACTTTTCGGAAGTAGGACGAAAGATCTGTTGTACATTTTGTCACCCGGGCTGCAGTAAGGAAAGCAGATTCTGGGAAGCGGGGGCGAGTTAGGAAGGCAGGGCAGCGTACAGAGGGGTGTGCCTTGCACGAGAGGATGTGGTGAAGAGGGGACAAGTGGTTGGACTCTGGATATACTCTGAAAGTGACCCTCAAGCTTGGCTGAAGGTCAGGTGTGTTACGTGGGAGAAGGGGAGAAGTCACGCCTCGGTCCACAGTTCTTCCAGCCTCAGCAGCGGGGGGATGGGGACGCATCTAATGAAATGGCCTGGGCAGGTGCTGGGGGTCAGGTGAGTGTTGGAAACAGGGGTAGAGGGTGGGGAGTCCACGAGCACTCTCAGCACCTGCATGCTGGGCAGTGCAGTTCCGTGTGTCAAGTCAGCAGGAGGAGTTGGGGTGGAGGGGTTAAAAGAAAAGAGGCATTTGAGTCAATGGACTTGAGCTGATTTCCTAGGGACTTCACGTAGACGGACAAGAGAAGATGCCAGCCCACCCAGGGTGTGAAGAGTTGTGGAAGCCAGCAAGGAGCCTGACAAGGTGACCAGTGACGAGGAGTGAAGCCACGGAGGCCGGCGATGCCCGCTGGTCCCCTAATTCCTCAGGACGTGGTTTTTGGCTCCCGTGAGCATGTGAATTACCTGTGGGGCTTGCTGAGCAGACACATCCAGAGGCTCTGACAGCGCCCTTCAGGTGCAGCCCAGAGTTTATGACTTCACGAACTCCAGGCCCCTCCCTAGGCCTCCTCTGGAGATCCACACAGACCACAGGGCACCTCGGCCCGGACTCATCGCAGAAGGTCCATGGAAGCGAGGTCGAGACAAATCTGAGACCCGCACCCTCCAATGCACATACAGGTTCTGAATGTACAGATCTATTGATCCTTTAATATCTGGTGAGACGTTTATATTATGAGGAAAATCTACAACTGTTACTATTTTGCTTAACGGACAATTTGTTAATATCGTATATCTAATAGGCAGAATCTTGAAAATATTTTTTCTTGGACATTCAACATTGATCATAAATTTCAGTTTCTTCAATTCCTAAATGCTTCAAATTATTATAAATTTCTATAACCGATTCATTTGATCACTTCAAACTTAATAAAGATTAGACAGAACATCCACGAATAGTGTAATACAGACACCGGCTCGTTCATTCAGGTGCAGAGGCTTA